ATTGTTGGCTTTCTGAAGCAAAGTGCAGAAGATGAAAGATGCCTGCATTAAAAATCCCATAGAAGTCAGTGTTTCATCATCTTTACCTTCCAATTTTTGGCAACAGTTAACCTTGTGTAGTAGTTGGGAGTGAAAGTAACATGGTCAAAGTCACTAACTGAGCTGTGATGGGTGAGATGGATTTGAACCTGGGTCTCCTCACTCCTCATCCAGTACCTTAGACCAGCAGTCACCAACTGGTGGGCTATGGCCCACTGGTGGTCCACAAGAAAATTTTGATGGTCCGCAGAGAAATGTCACCCCACAAAGCAATTAATCCAGGCTGTGCAGGAACACAAGGCTGCGCCGCCCACATGGCCTGCCCTTTCCCCCCACTCACTCCTTACTTCACAAACTTGCCTGCTAAGTTTCTATTTTTCCTTTTTCTGACAATCAGCTGTTCCGCTGTGCTGGGAGATTTAGATTAGCTAGGAAGCAGGAAATGGTTGGATTTCTTTCTGTCTAGCTAATCTGTAGATCTTTGGCTCTGCTTTTGAGCAAAGCTGAACCTTCCTTAGGACTGAAGCAGTGCAGACTCAGCTAGCCAATGGCAGGAACACAGATCTCTAAGTGAATCTGTGATTCTGTGAGCAACTCAATCTGACTGACTGCTCTGCCTGATTTTGGGTAAAAATTGCTCCTTTTTTATAAAAAAAAAATCAATATTTACATACGTGGTGTGTTGTGAGTTAATTTTGTGAGTTTGCTAGCAAAGTTTATGAGTTTGCTAGCAAATTTTATGTGACAGGCTCAGCTAGCCGATGGTAGGAACACAGATCTCTAAGTGAATCTGTGATTCTGTGAGCAACTCAATCTGCCTGCCTGCTTTGCCTGATTTTGGGTAAAGGTTGCTCTTTTTTTATAAAAAATTCAATATACAAATATAATATTTACATACAAGCCATGCCCGGCCAATCACCAAGCCACACCCACAAATTAGGCTACACCCACAGAACCGGTTAAGAAATTTGAATCCCACCCCTGGCCTCTGTATTTGTGTGTGTTGAGAGAGGGGGAGAGAGAGGTTAGGATCTCTCTCTTTCTCTCTCACACCAACATCAGCAAGCCACCATCAATCAAAATTCATATTAGTGGTCCCTGGGATTTAAAATTATGAGTTTGGTGGTCCCTGAGATCCAAAAGGTTGGCGGTCCCTGCCTTACACATTACACCACATTGGCCACCTGAATACTTGTTGGGAGGATAAAGGGTGTTCTGTGAGGTAGTTTTAATTTCAAAGTAAGGCTTTGTGGTCATGAAGTTGCTACATATACTAGCTGTCCTTGAAAGCTGAGGTTGCTTCAGCAAAACTTAGTTAGGAAACTAGGTTTTAAGATCAAGTCCTTTTTTTTTGACACATGTAAGGGATTAGACACAGTCCATAATTGGGGCACCATTAGTGACAGGGCCCTACTGGACCCTTGGGAAGACAAGAAACGGACCTCCTGGAAGTTCCGGTAGGCCATGCCCTCCCAGCAACTGGGCAGTGAACCGGTTGCTGGGATTTTTGAATCCCACCCTTGCCTATTCCTAACTACATTGTGAACCAAAATCTGGAGCACAGCCTTTCCAAGTGATTTTAGTGCACACTTTAGATCAGAGGTGGTGTTCAGCAGGTTCTGACCAGTAGTGGAAATTTTGAGTAGTTTGGAGAACCAGCAACTACCACCTCTGAATGGAGATTTTACAGTTTTCTTCCCCTGCCATGCCCACCAAGCCACCCCCACAGAACTGGTAGTAAAAAAAAATTGAATCCCACCATTGCTTTAGATGGCAGGGGTCCCCAACCACTGGGCCGCGGACCGGTACTGGTCCATGGAACATTTCCTACGGGGCCACCGGTTTGCTGGGTGCCGCCATCTTGTTTGACGAGAAAGTGCTTCCGGGTGAGCTTTTCCGGTTGGAAAGCGGCGTTTGGGTCCTGAAGGAATCCTTGTGCCTTAGTTTCATCGAGGGGGGGGCTTCAAACGAAACTAAGGCGCGAGGATTCTTTCAGCACCCAAGGCAAGGTGAGCCGAGCGACCGTCCCGAAGCTGTCCCGAAGCAAAGCCCATCAACAAAGGTACAAAGGAGGAATTGAAGGTGGCGGGGAGAAGTGGGGGACGGCTGGTTGGCCGGTCGCTCAGCTCGCCTTTCCTTGCCATGCGTGCTGATGCCGGTACCGGGTCGCGGATCATTTTGTGATGCCGGTACCGGGCCGTGGCACAAACAAGGTTGGGGGCCACTGGTGTATAGCACGGGTGTCACACTCAGTGTCGCATTGCCATCCTGTGACATAATGATATTTTTTCCTATCCTTTCTATAAATGGGGAGGGAGGGGAATTTGGATAATATTGTTCTTATCTTGCATTTCCATTCTAAAAGGATGAATAACAAAATCACTAAAGTTGATCTCATGCCTCCCAGATTAAAGAAGATCCAAGAAAAGAAAAAGATACTGAAGGAGAAAAATGAAAAAGTGCAAGAATTACGGAAGGCTGCTGGAGTGCAAGAACCTGCTAATTTGCTTGCAGAAGAAAAAGATGAGGATCTTCTCTTTGAATAGCTATGGATATAAAGTTGTGACTGAAATCTAAAAGCTGTGCAACTCTGTGGACCTTATTTATGAAGTTCTTTCTTTGATGTATTAGCTTAAATATTGCACTCCAGACCTATACACGGAATGTTCTTATTGTGGAAAATTGCTGTTTAATTAATTGCTTGCATGAAGCAGGATCATTTCTATTTCCTATCTGTCTTCGTTCCTTTGGTATAGGTATGGCTTCCCTGTGTATTGCCAAATTCTTGTAATAATTTTTATTCACGGTCACAGGTAAAAATTAGTGAGCATTTCAGAAATTCAGAACTTGGAATTATGTTTTTTTTCTTTCCTAAAAAAGAAACACTTTAAATTGTATCTCGATTGTACTGTAAAATCAATAAAAATACGGCTAAACGAAGATTATAGGTGTTTGTCAAATCTCCTTCACATGAATGATTCTTAAGAGTACGGTCCTAAAAGTCCCTTGCATGATTTGCCATTGCCACCCCTCATTCACCAGCCAGAAACCAATGGCTGCTTCAGCCTCACTTCCCTGAATGGGATGCTAGTTGTCTTCTTTGGTGTCATGGAACTCTTGACTTACAGCTAAAACAGTATCACCCCACTTAATGGAAAGACTAAGTGATCACCATTGCAACAGTCCAGAACAGATTAATTGGAGTAAACGGGATTACCAAAAGTAATTTGTTTGCTCTTATTGAAAGCAATGTGATTGCATTGGCGACCTGTTACAGTTGTCTCTTGGAATTCCTTCCTCTCCAATCTATTATACAAGGGAGATGGGAAGAAAAAAGGTGATTTTAGTAGACAATCTTTTTCCTTGAGCCCCTTCCCTATCAGAGGATAGAGATTGGAGAGAAAGAAATGTCAAGATATTGTCAGCCAGATGCCTGTTTGCAGGCTGCAGTATAATTACATTTGCTTTTGATGAGTACAAGATGTAAGCAGGTATTGGAGCATTCCAAAATGGGGGAGGAGTGGGGTGATTAAGAGTTAAACAAAAGCTGAAGGTGTGAAACTGAGTAGTCTCATGTCTTTCCAGTGGAAAGCAGCGTCATGATTTCCCACTCAGCTGAAGTCCCAATTAGGGAGGAGTGTTTGTATGTGTGCTGATATCAGACTGACTAGTGGAAAATCCTATCTCTATGTCTGTTCTGCCTATGCTTTATTCTTGGATACACATCAGTAACCAGTCTGTGAAATATATCTACATCAGAAGAGGAAGCAATGGAGGAAAATGCAAGAAGGGTAACAAACATTGAACAATTTAAAGAAACAAGAGTCTTGATTGAAAATAAATAACTGTATGAGACAAACAGAAATGTGAACGCTTGCTGACCCCCCTCCCTTCTAAAGGCAAATATACAAATCGGCATAAGGCTCTCGTATATAAAACATAACTCGATGCAAAGTAAGTAAGAAGTGAGTTTTATTTTTGGTAAGCAAATAAACGGTGCAAGGTTTTCTAATTCTTTCTCAAAGGACAGTGAAACAGCTTCACAATTTAACACACGCAATATTCAAGTTTCATTTGTTTAGCCTGTACCTTACTTGTCATAAGGCTGATACAAGTTGCATCTGAGCTGTTTAAATCAGCCTGAAAATACTCTCAAACTTACTCAAGGATTAAAAGTTTTTATTTAAATACTTTTGGGCAAACTTATAACATATGGAAAAAACCACCATTGAGAATCAGCTGTGTAGTTAGTAATCTCTACTAACTTATCTTTTTCTGCAGAGGGGTTGTGGGGTGGGGGAAGCAACGCATAGAGAATATTGGTTATCATGCCCAAGTTTGCTAATCTGATGGATCTGAATTGTACTCTCAGATAATGACTTGTGCCAAGATAGTTGCCTACTGAATCATTAGAAAAAAGTAAATTGGACTGATGCACTTGAATAGCGAAAGAACTTCAAGCAAGTATAAAAATCAGGTGGCTTTTATCTCCTAGTACATTGCAGCTTTAGGAAGTGCCATCATATCTCTGCAACAGATGATATCCAATTCCATCTGCCAGCTGAAGAGATATCATTGGTAGAACACATTCTTCCACAACTGGTAACTCCATGGGTACTCCAGAGTTTGGGAATTCCCTGGGACAAGTCTGGGTAATGTCAGTGGAATTAATTTTGGATATTGTTAAATTCAGTGATAGCTGAGGGGTACAATAATTGCACTTCAAAAGTGCTTGAGGGCCTGTATGAGTACAGCACCTCTCTATTCTTTCTTATAATGGCCTGAGCTTTACCCAGCTTCTATGGGAGCTTGAATGAAGGGGCAACTCTGCTTTAAGAGTTTCACTAAGTTTTAAAAAGCAGATTCCTTTAAGCAGTGGCAATCTTTTTTTCAGGCTTGCCAGAATCCCTAAAAATGTCAAGATGCTTTAATAAACAGGGATGTTATATTCACAAAAGGAAACCAAAGCATGCAGAGCCCGAATAGCAAAATTTCCTCATAATTAGCCTTCATCAATCAAGTAGTTCTCGTATCTCTTATGACTGCAATTTCCAGAATTGTTCATCTTGGCTATGCTGCCCAGGAATTCTGGGAGTTGTAGCCCCAAATATATCCAGAAGCACCAAGCTGGTAGAAGGATATTTGGAACAATGCTGGTGATACTTTATCACCACAACAGACTGCACTGCAGTTTTTGTAACTAATTCCATACACTCATTTTATTACAATATTTTGTAATATTAAGCCACTAAAATAAAAATATATTAACAGTTAACATTTACTTGAAGTCAGAAAATATATATGTTTACATTAGCATACAGTTTACAACATTGGTGCATTGTCACAGTTACCTTATAAGCCTCTTATTGTTCTTATTAGACACTATTACATTCATGCCAATGAAATAATTGATTAAAAATGTTCCTGTTTCAATAGCCAAGAAAAATCCAGTACGCTCATTCAGCATATAGCAAAACACTTAAATAGTAATCAATGTCTCTATTTTTTTCTAATCATACATTTTGAAAGACTTCAAAATGCATGCTTTCAGCAGCAGAATAAAGGAATAAATTTATTACTACCAATTGATCTATAAAACACCATTTTAACAATCTTAATACCATTATTTGGCTTTGTTACATCTGTTTACTAAATGTTTTCTGTAGTTTTTTAAAACCTATCTTCTAATATTTAGTAATTTCTCTGTTCAGCAACTTCTAGATTCTTAAGACATTAAAAGGGCAACACAAACATAACAAATTGCTTTGTGCATCTTAACATGTAATACACTCACTGCTGTGTCACATCAATATCATTAATTCATCTGTTGCTCCAGAATGCACCCTGGATTATATAAGAATTCAAGTATGATAGTGAAAGAAGTTGTAGGTTGGTATTCTACATGCATGTAAATGTTACACCTATTGTAAAAAATCAAATACAGATTTTATTATACACAATGTAGTCCTATCATCCTTGATTTAAGTTGTGCTTGATTCTTGATTTCAGAGACATTTGCTTGAAGCATTCTTAGAAACAAAACTGAAATGTTTCCCTGCCCTTTTCAACTTTTCAGTTTAATCTCTAGCCTTGGGATTTTCTGATTATTTCCTATCCAAGCCTATCCTTGTTAAATTTTTCAAGATTAGCCAATGGTATTGAGATATGGTCATTTTGTAGCAATAGTTATGAGGAACAGGGCATACATGTTCAAAGTTGTATGCCTGGTCTACAAACTTATGTTTAAATGTTCAATGCAAATTTACCAGAATCAACAAAACTAAATTATATGCAAGACAAGACAGGACAGGACTGGGGAATTCTGGGAGTTGAAGTCCACACATCTTAAAGTTGCTAAGGTTGAGAAACAGTGCCATAGTGCATTTCTGATCCCTTAAGCAAAGAAAAAAGCTGGGATGCATTACATCTTTTTTAGTGACTTGTAACAATCATCAATAGTTAGAAATGATCACAAATCAAATGAGGAAAAAACACCAGGTTTCCTTCTCATGCATTCCAAGCGAAGTTGACTACTGGAGATGCATATTTATGTCTCAGGAATTATTCCATCTCGTTTCTATTATCTACTGAAAGGCTTTACTGGATGAGGCACATTACTAGGTGATTATTTTACCATCAGCTTATAAATATTAGACTATACAGAATTTAAATGGGAGGGAACTGTTTTATATTTCCATTTTTTATTTTTTCTTCTTTTCTTGCTTGCTGAGGGATGCTTATAATACTGAACAATTTCAGTTCTTAAGTCAGTTTTTCCACACAGTTGCTACATGCCATACAGCATGTTCAACAATGAATAAAAAAGCATTATCCTTGCAGAGTTCTTTTCTATTTCATATATTATGAGGGAAAAAAATGAAATAACATAAAGAAATAGCTAATACTTTACCTAACCAACTACACGTTGAAGTAATTCCAGTGTAAGACAGTATATAAAAATAAAAGCTATGGTTGAGAAAAACATTTATTAATATTCACATTTAAGGGTGCCATCAACAATAAAGGAACAAAACTAATCTATTTCCAAAGCAGCTATTACTGGAGAAGCCACCAATATTTAGGACCTTTTAAGTACGGATTTCTAGAAAAGAGAATAAGACAAGTTCCTAACATCCATATTATGTCACTGTTCCAGGGCTATAACCTGATTACTTAATACTAATTCCAACAGCCATGAGATGTCTTGTGCCTATGTATAAAAATATAAGAATATATGCTAATATTCACTATTCCCAACTCTAGTGTTCATTTGTTTGTTTATGAAAACAATTTTACAATGTAAGGAAGCAAAGCCTTGTAAAAAATCCATATAAGAATTGTCATAAAAATATAGCTCCCTTCTAAAATGTTCCACAGTTCTTTGGGATACCAGTGGCTCCCAATCAGGCAATATAGACAAAAGGGAGAAAAATCCATAAAAATATCACATCTCAAATATTGACTCATACATAGAATTCATCTTCAGTGGAATCTCATTATTTAATAAGCTATCAATCTGATTTACAAAGTATCTAAAGACAAAAAAAGTTTTATTATTTACATTGTACATATTTTTAAAAAATTGCAGTGCTATTGGATAAAGGAATGTTTAATTAAAAAAATTAAATTTAAAATTTAAAAAAATTCAAGCCTAAGGACAACTCCATATAAGTGGCCTCTTACACTACTAAGAAGAAAATGTGCAGATTAATTTCTTTCTCTAATTTCATCCATCCAATGTTTTGGAAAGGTATTTTTGAGAGCTACAATATTTTCATTAGATCATTAAGTGTGAAGTAACCTGTATTAGTAATGATCATGGACTGTATAAATATACTTGCTTGAAGAACAACTCTAGACAAAAGAAGCTGTTAGAAAAACCTATTTAAATAATTAAAATGTGGCTTGTTCACACTGTGTCTAATTAAAAGTAGAGAAAGTCAGACATTCTACAATCGCAGCAACATTGTTGGATTTGAAGATTAAACAAATTAGTAAGGATGAAAAGGATGCAATTGGCAAAACCCTTTTCTTCATTGATGTGGTTCTCTTCATCGCAGCCAAGAGGATGGAACCCACTGAGGTTCTGTATCAAGTTTGTTAATTAAACGAAGTAATTCTTGATATGCTTTGTCAATATCAGAATTCACAATCGCTGTATCAAAGTAATGGCCATTATTTTGCTCCATCTCTCTGGTTTTCTCTATTATTTCTCTTAGTTCTTCTGGCTGAAATTGAAGTGGAAAAAATAACCTATATCAGCAATATTTATCTTGCTGCCTCTCACATGCATACAGATAGCCTTATAAAAAACAGAACTCAGCTGCATAAGAGAAAGCAATATACAAGACAGACAAAACATTCCTGACAAGTTTTAATGAACAGTGGATGTTTGTGAAGGGCAGACCAAAGAAGTCTATCTTTCTTTTCTCCTTGCTTTTATTAAATATACCTCCCTTAACCTAGTAGAAGTCACTATACAAATTTAGGCTATCTTTAAGAACTAGGGAAAATTATTTTGTTAAGTATAGTTGGATGTTAATTGCGACATCATTAACAGAAAAGGGAAATCAATGAAGTGACAACCAAAACTCTATTAGCGCTAGTAGGTTAGAACATAACCCTATAATTTTACTAGGTTAGAACATAACAAGTAAATTGGGATGTTACAGGAAAATATAACAAGGCTGAAAATATACACTGCTCAAAAAAATAAAGGGAACACAAAAATAAGACATCTTAGATCTGAATGAATGAAATATTCTTATTAAATACTTTGTTCATTACATAGTTGAATATGCTGACAACAAAATCACACAAAAATTATCAATGGAAATCAAATTTAGCAACCCATGGAGGTCTGGATTTGGAGTTACACTCAAAATTAAAGTGGAAAAAAAACACTACAAGCTGATCCAACTTTGATGTAATGTCCTTAAAACAAGTCAAAATGAGGCTCAGTAGTGTGTGTGGCCTCCACATGCCTGTATGACCTCCCTACAATGCCTGGGCATGCTCCTGATGAGGTGGCGGATGGTCTCCTGAGGGATCTCCTCCCACACCTGGACTAAAGCATCCCCCAACTCCTGTACAGTCTGTGGTGCAATGTGGCGGTGGTGGATAGAACGAGACATGATATCCCAGTTGTGCTCAATTGGATTCAGGTCTGGAGAAACAGGCGGGCCAGTCCATAGCATCAATGCCTTCGTCTTGCAGGAACTGCTGACACACTCCAGCCACATAAGGTGTAGCATTGTCATACATTAGGAGCAACCCAGGGCCAACCGCACCAGCATATGGTCTTACAAGGGGTCTGAGGATCTCATCTCGGTACTTAATGGCAGTCAGGCTACCATTGGTGAGCACATGGAGGGCTGTGCGGCCCCCTAAAGAAATGCCACCCCACACCATTACTGACCCACTGCCAAACCGGTCATGCTGGAGGATGTTGCAGGCAGCAGAACATTCTCCACAGTGTCTCCAGACCCTGTCATGTCTGTCACATGTGCTCAGTGTGAACCTGCTTTCAACTGTGAAGAGCACAGGGCACCAGTGGCGAATTTGCCAATCTTGGTGTTCTCTGGCAAATGCCAAACGTCCTGCACGGTGTTGGGCTATAAGTACAATCCACACCTGGTGGACGTCAGGCCCTCATACCACCCTCATGGAGTCTGTTTCTGACCGTTTGAGCAGGCACATGCACATTTGTGGCCCGCTGGAGGTCATTTTGCAGGGCTCTGGCAGTGCTCCTCCTGTCCCTCCTTGCACAAAGGCGGAGGTAGCGGTCCTGATGCTGGGTTGTTGCCCTCCTACGGCCTCCTCCATGTCTCCTGATGTACTGGCCTGTCTCCTGGTAGTGCCTCCATGCTCTGGACACTACGCTAACAGACACAGCAAACCTTCTTGCCACAGTTCGCATTGATGTGCCATCCTGGATGAGCTGCATTACTTGAGCCACTTGTGTGGGTTGTAGACTCCGTCTCATGCTACCACTAGAGTGAAAGCACCCCCAGCATTCAAAAGGGACCAAACCATCAGCCAGAAAGCAAAGGAACTGAGAAGTGGTCTGTGGTCACTACCTGCAGAACCTTTATTGGGGATGTCTTGCTAACTGCCTATGCTTTCCACCTGTTGTCTATTCTATTTGCACAACAGCATGTGAAATTGATTGTCAATCAGTGTTGCTACTTAAGTGGACAGTTTGATTTCACAGAAGTGTGATTGACTTGGAGTTACACTGTGTTGTTTAAGTGTTCCCTTTATTTTTTTGAGCAGTGTATAATGATATACAAAAATTTAAACAACACAATTGAAAACATTACCTATCAGTATTACCTTTGGATTTTTGCCTTCTTTGGCCAGCAATGCACGAAGCCGTTCTTGTGAAGGAGGTGCAATGAAGATAATATATGGTTTCAAGTCTGAATTGCGTAAACTCTTCAATGACTAATGTAAAAATCAAATTTGTGCTATTAATATCCATACCAAACAAAATGAAACCATCAAAAATTAGTCATAACATGATACAAATTGGAAACAGGTACTGGATTTGAGGAACTGAATTCAAGACTAGTCGTCTTAATATTAGCCTATGTCTTTCACAAATCTGCCACTTTACAGAAAATTGCATAAGTACAACAGGTATGATTAAAAGCTATATAATGAAAAAAAACCTTTAACATATTAGTAGTGTAACAATAGAAAGTAATTAATATTATAATAAATCTAGATTTGGACATGACTTTTTCAGGAACAAGCATTGTATAAGGCCATTTTTTGTTTTTTAATTTTAAATATGAAACTGATTAAAGCCAAGAAAAGAATTTAAAGACTAGTAGGTGAAAATATAAAGTTTCTCTAAAAAACTTAATCCTTTCCTAAATTGGACTGTTGAAAAAAATAAAAAAAATATATACAGATTTCTTACTAGTGCACTATTATGTATGCTAAGATGTATTGGGGTATGACCAAATATATTACAAGGATGTACAACTTTCAGTGTCTGTGATGGTAAGAATCGGAATGTGAAAAGTTGCACAAGGTAGTCTCCAAAGAGAAAGCTAAGGCAACTGTATTCAAGTACAGGTTTTTCAGCATCACTGCCACATACATTAATTCTTAATACAAATTAGCCTTAAATATGGAGAGTTAACAACTGATATTTGATTTTTTTTAACAAAGCAGAAACCATTTCATGTTTCTCAATCATCGCAGTACAATAAAGTTTAATCAAAAAATATTCTGAAGCTGATAGCCAGTTTGGTGTAATAAGGCACCAGCTTAGAAAACAGAAGACTACAAGTTTGTCCCGCCTTAACATGAAAGCCGGCTGAGTGACCTGGGGCCAGCCACCCTCTCTCAGCCCAACCCACCTCACAGGGTTGTTGTGGGGAAAATAGGATGAAGAAAATGTATTGGATAGGTTCTCCACCTTGAACTATTTGTAAAAATAGACAGGACATAAATGAACAAATAAAATACATTTAAAACTTTAAAGTCCAAAACCTATGTCATTACCTGTGTATGAAGATTTAAGAGACATATCTTTCCAGAATTGATCACCTGCCGGACAGAGTCTATGCTGGTACCATACAGATTCTTCTCAAATTCACCATGTTCAATAAACTTTCCTGCTGTAATATCAGTCTCAAATACTTGTCGTGATACAAAATGGTAATCTCTGCCAGCTACTTCGTTGTCCCTCCTATTCCGGGTTGTATCTAAAAAAGACCAGTAAGCAGACTTAATAAATCTTGAGCAAGAAGGTACATGAATAGTATTATAATGTATCAATTTTCGGCTTCACTGGAGTTAACCAGGTGAGCTGTTTTTTGCACGTTCTCTGTGTTGGTAATGGCGGCGGCTGGATCGCTCCCCCCCCCCCCAGCAGGCGGGAAATTGCAATCTAGTGCGCTCCCTCTCCTGTATGGCCTTGATAAGGGCAATGCAGTGATGGTTCAGGAGAAGCCACAACTTTGTCAGGGTAATTAGACAAATTCAGAGACAGTGGGCTGACAAGAGCCTCATTAGGAAGTCTATCACCCAGGTCCCCTGCAAACCTGTCTCCAATTCTGAGCCCATCTTTACCACGTCTCAATAGGGCCATGACTAAGTTGTAACTGGGGTCCTGGCCGTTGGCGGAGAGGCGTGGCAAATTGATGACTCAGTCTCTAGGCAGAAAGGCATGTGTCAACCCGTGTATGGGTTCTCCAATTGGTGTGCTGGAGAAAAAGCTATCTGCAAAAACCATTTTTCAGTTGAGCATCCTTGAGCTAAATTAAAAACTTTTCATTTTACATTCTAAATACTTCAATTCGTTAAATGGGTTCAAAAATCGTTACATGTTGTAACGTATGGCATATATACAGTCTTATATAGCACATTTCCAAATATTAAGAACACTGCTGAACACAGGATGCAGAGAATTACACATGCAATTGAAATTACTGAAACAGAAACAGAATAATACATTCTTAAAAACGTGAAATAACTAAATTGGTAATGTGAAGTTTTTGTGAATGAGATTGACAAATTTCTCTTTATGATGACTTATTAATTACACATATATAATAACAAATACAGAACTAAGGAAGATTAGACTAAAGCATCTTCCCTCAATATCATTATATGTCAAATCTACTAAGCTACAAAATGACATAGTAAAAAAATAGAGCAGTGAGATGTCCATAATTTCAACTTACGAGGAACTGCAGAAGCAAATCGGTCAGCTTCATTATTCATTAATCTTTGCCACAGTTCATTTTGACCACAGTTCTGGGGACCAATCAGGACAATAGGTCGTTTCCTATTTGCTGGCTGGTGATAAAGTGACATTTCTTCATAAGTCAAAATCTCCTCGTTGTCATAATCTTCAAAAAGAAAGCCCAGAATAAATGTACAATTTTTTTAAAAAGCTTATTCTTTTGTAAAAATAAATACAATTCTTGTAGCACTGACAGGTTGAAAAATATAAATTCTATTTTGCAAATATCAGAACGGTTTGGATTTTAACAATAATTTGAAGAGTTTTCTCTCATTTCTTTTGCTGCTAACTCAGCTATTTTTTATAATTATATAATGATAAAGAGAAAATGATAAGTAGATAGATATCCTATGTGTAGTAATATGCATAGTGCCTTCCTAGTCAAGAAAGCCCTATGCATATTATAACAGGATTCCTATATAGATATCCCAATGCAACATTTGTGCTATACATGCAATAAATGTGGGTGCATGTATTATGAAGTATTATATTAAAAACTGCTAATGCTGATACTAAATTGCAGTGTGCCCCTAATTCAAAAAGCTTTTCATTAGTAGTTATTAGTAAACTGTATTGTGTGACTTCAGATATAGACACATACATGCACATATATATGTACACATATATACACATGTATGGTATAGATTGACACGGTTGAGATTTAAATTAATAATAAAAGTACTCTGAGATGCCTTTAATAGATTAAGAAAATTATTCGCTCAAATACTGATCCAAAACATTAGATGTGGATCACATGCTTTTTGGCATCTTTCTTCATTACATGAAGTATCAAAACAGAAGGTCTATTTCCCATCCAAATTTTAGATCCTGATTAAAAGAAATACTCATATGTGTAGTCTTCAACTTACAACCATCTGTTTAATGACCATTGGAAGTTATGACATTACTGATAAAAGTGACTTATGACCAGCCCTCACATGACCATCATAGCATCTCCATAGTCATGTGAGCCAATTTAGGCACCTGGCAACCGGCTTGTGTTTTTTTATGGTTGCAGCATCTCAGGGTCACATGATTTTGCCATTTACAACTTTCTTAGGGAGCTTCTGACAAGCAAAATCAATGGAGGAAGCTGTATTTGATTAACCACCAGACAAAGAGATCACAAAATCATATATGGCTCACTTAAGGACTGCATTACTAAGTGATGGAACTTCCAGTCCCAATTGTAGTTGTAAAGTTGTGAACTACCTGTATCCCTGAAGATTAGAATCATTTCTGAACAGCTATGGAGATACTGAACCCTCAAGTAAGAATATGGTGGCAATCATGAATGTGTTCAAAAACCAAACAAAAACAAGAGACAAGAGAACATATACAAAAAATATATTTCAAATATTTTAAACAGTTCTGTGTGACTAATTTAATTTTAAAGTAAGCAACTGAGCTATCATAACTACTGTGCATTTTGATAAAAAAAAAGGAGAAAGGAAAGTTATACAGGTAGTGCTCAACTTATAAACATTCATTTAGCAACCATTCAAAATTACAAAGGCACTACAAAAAATGATGCACATCCAATCCTTGCACTTACAACCACGGCAGTATCCCCATAGTCACATCTGTTCTGACCAAGGCTTCTGAGACTGTAATTATGCACACATTTATTTTAAAAACAAGTCTTGTTTTATTGCAATGCTGGGAATTTTTTTCATTCCCAGCCAGTAATGAATCTCAAACAGTCCCTCAAGATAAGCATCCACCTTTCTTTCCTGTGAAGTGCTGCCAATGACAGAAGTGTCAAATAAACTAGAACAAAAACCAACCGAAGTACAAAGATCTTTAAGAATGAATCTGAACCGAACGAACTTTGCTTCCTGCAAAGGTTTCATCATCTTTGCTTGTCCTTTATACCTTATGGGAGGGGCAATCACCTCCCAGCCTTACTCCTGAGTCTCCCCTTTTGTTTCGGCTGCTCTTGCCTTTTAGCATCTCTGCGCACACGCGCATTGGGAACAGGCTCCCCTGGGGGTCCTCTGCCTCACTGCTGCCATTTCTAAGGCTCCGGAGGCAGCACCCCACTCCCAGATGGTCCTGGCTCCATCTCTGCATCGGGCGCAGGACCATCGTCCGAGTCCTCTCCAGATCCCCGGACTGATCCCCTTTCTTCCCAGTGTCCGATTCTGCTGCTGTCTGCACAGGCTGCCTGCGAACCACAACACCATCAAAATTTGGGCACTTGGCAACCGGTACTCATTTATGTATGACCTCATGTATGACATTCCCAGCAGGCTTCTGACAAGCAAAGTCAATGGTGGAAGCCAGATCTGATTAACAATCACGTGTTTCACTTAATAGCTGAAATGATTCACTTAACAACTATTGCAAAAAATGTCCTAAAATTGGGTGTGATTTACTTAACAACCACCTAGCTTAGTAACAGAAATTCTGGTCCCAGTTTGTGGCTGCGAGTTGAGGACTACCTGCACCATATCCCATTAACACTTCATTCATCCAGAAAAAAGTATCCTGAAGTTAGTTGAAACCCTTTCTTACCATCATTTTTATTGGCATTGTACAAAACTTTCTTCCGTTTCTTTTTGTTCTTTTTTGCACACCAAAGTTTTCCTAAAAGCAACCAAAAAACAGTGGGTTACTCAACTCAATCTTTGTAGCTGTTTTTTCTAAACAATCCTTGTTAAGAAACATTGCAAATAAGAACTGCACTTAAGGAAGACCATGTTAAAGTTGATATAAGGTCTTCCAACTCCTAGAATCCCCAGGATAGCACACCCTGAAAGCTGAAGTCCACACATTTTTAAAGTTGCCAAATTTGAAAAACACTGAGCTCAATGTTAAAAGAAAGAATACCCCTCTTAAGACAAATCAATTGTCCAGATAATAAATCCATCTATCCGCTGTGACTAATAAGACAACTGAAAATCACTAAACTTGCTAAAACAAGTATTTTTGAAGTTTTCCACTTACCTGATTTTTCCGGCTCTTTGTCCTCTTCTATAGTTTGCTTCATTGCTTCTCTTTGCTGCTGAAAACTTTTTCCTTCATGAAAGAAAATATGTACGAGAATTAACACTGAAAGAATATAACAGTATCTTTCTTAGAATAATAAACGTTATTTTGAGAGCATTTCAAAATAGGCTTGAAGAAAACTTCCACTGATCATTAAACATGTATCTTTCATAAAATTGTATGAGAAATATTCTTCTCACCTTGTGAGCAATGTTGTTTTATCTATTTGGCAAGTCAAGACAATGGAATAAAATGGTTTCAGCTTCAAATTAATTCTGAAACCACTTCTGTATTATGGGATGGGCTCACCCCACTTGCTCTGGGAGAAAGGGCTTGCTATGGATCCAGTTGGCCAAGGAACTTTGGCTGATGATCCAGAACAGCTTATTCTGGAACATTGTGCCCCACAAGATGAGATCTGTCCCCACCCTTTTAGCCTTCTGAGAAGGCCTGAAAACCTGGCTCAGCCAATTAGTTGGGGGTCCTATGGGGACATCCCTCATTGGTGATAGTAGATTGAGAAGATCCCACCTCCACCCTGTTTATGTATTGGTTCCTTTTTAACTTAATTTTTGTTAACTTTTAATGCTGTTTGTAATGTTTTAATATTTTATATGACTGTTTTATGATGTTGTAAACCACACAGAATCATTCAACAATAAGATGGGCAGCATATAAATTTAATAAATAGATGTTACTCAATTAATTTATGTTAAGCAATTTCATTGCATTTCATGTCTACTTTTTTGTTATGATGATGATGATGATGATGATATTCATTTAGTTGTGTCAGACTCCTGGTGATTTTTTGGGCCAGGTCTCTCCAGATCTTGCACTACTTTGGTTTTTCCTATGCTCTGGCTGGGGTCAGTTATCATGCTGTCCAGCCACTGAGTTCTTTGGCGGCTTAGTTGCCTTTTACTGCTAACTCTTCCAAACTTAATTACTTTCTCTAGTGATTTATTAATTATGGGTTTATCTATTTTCATTGTAATGTTCTCTCATCTAAAGGACTAATAAAAAGGGATGTAATACTTTGCTAGTCATTAATATGGTACAATACTAGAATGCTCCTATTTTTGTGAAAAAGTACATTTTTAGCAATTTAAATAATAAATTCCCAAGCTAATATTTATTAATAGGTCCATTCTACCTTGCTATATCTTAAGGAAATAATAGGATTCCTGTGTTATAAGCATGAATAAAATTAAATTTATTATTTGCTATATATAGTAGGAGCCATTTCAGTTGCAAGCTTTTGCCCTACAGCGAATATTCCTTTTGTAACTTCAATACATTTTATACATATTTTATTTAAGACCAATAGCACTTACAAATATTTTCTTCTAATTTCAATATTACTGATTACATTTCAAATATACAGGAAAAACTAGTTCTAAAACATGATACTATTGTTGAAGACCTAACAATAAAATGAGCACATAACCAAACATTAAGTTTTCATGATTAAAAACCTAGGGGAACACCAGGTCACTAAACTGCTGTTATTAACTGTGCTATTGCTTCTGCCTTTTGTCAACTCTTCAAAAAAGGAATAATTGTATTATATTAGAAGGCATCATACAAAATAAAAAAAAAAATTCTTTGCTCAAGAGACCAATATGAAACATTTGAAATGTTGTCATTCCCAGCAAAGCGGGGGGGGGGGGGATATTTTATGAGTGCCCATGTGAATAGTCTGCTTTTCTTAACATTAAGTACCTGGAATGAGGCCTGCCAAAGGCTGATTTTCTTCATCTCCATCTCGATAAGCCTGCCACCAATTTGGATCTTCCTGGCTGATCACATGGAGTATATCTCCTTTTTGAAAAGACAGCCCTAACTCTCTGCAAGGGACATAAGGGTCATCAGAAGGATCGTAGTCAAAGTGAGCCTTCACATGTATCTAGGACACAAAAACATACAAACACAAAATGGATAGGCAATTCTAATGATTAATTTCTAGTAAAAAGGTCTCCCCGCCCCCTTTTTTTTAAAAAAATACCCTTACTTCAAAAACAGATTACAACTCCTAATGGATACAACATCTGATGGGTTCAATAGATTTCTTGGAGTTCTCCAGGAACCTGGAAGGTTTTCTTTTAGGCTCCTTGCTGAATACTGAAATATAGACAACTACGGCACTTAAAGACCCGTGGTGGCACAGCGGTTAGAATGCAGTACTGCAAGCTACTTCTGCTGACTGCTAATTGCCAGCAGTTTGGCAGTTCAAATCTCACCCGGCTCAAGGTTGACTCAGCCTTTCAAGGTTGGTAAAATGAGAACCCAGCTTGTCGGGGGCAATTTGCTGACTGTAAATCACTTAGAGGGTTGTAAAACACTGTGCAGCAGTATATAAGTGTAAATGCTATTGATATTAACAGGATAGGCCCTGACTAGGCACTACCTGCCCACTGAACCCATGCAGTTCTTTGATTTATTGAGAAGCATTGTGAAGTGAAGTAGGCAAGGAGACAGCTGGGATGATGCTCAAGAAATGAATGTAACCTGACATTGGTAGGAGCCCAGGTTCAAACCTATGCTCTAGTTACAAGGGCATGGGCGGAGGGGCAGCTAATGAACTCTTCTGAGGACGGATAGGCTGAAAGATCCAATCAATGTAAGTTGCTATTATCTGGCTGAGAATTTCATAGATAAAATTATTTGCTTGTGTTCCCAATTAGAAAATGGATAAGCAGAATCTTTAGAAATGTTAAAGTAACATGTTGTGCCATTATCTGGGAGGGTTTTGGACCCATAGATCCCTCAAAGTGAACAGAGTCTTCTGCAGTCTTAGCTTTGCCACTTGTGAACGGGATCTGTCCCCTACCTGATGAATTAAAGCAATGAGGCAGGGGATTCGAAGTTGGATCTCACTTGTGATTAAGTGAGAGTTATCAGAGATCCTTAAAGAGCTATTGATTTGCCCACTTCTCAAGAAACCAGGCTTCAATCTAACAAAACTGAACTATTTCTACTCTTTTACATTCATTTTTTTTTGGGGGGGGAGCAGGGGATACTGAGAACATAGTGGGGCCAATACGGAAAGGGCTCTGGAGGATATGAATTAGCTAAGGCCCTTGGCATTCTGGCTTCAGGCCTGAGCAAGGGTTGGAAACTGCACTGGTCATTCTCAAGAATGTCCTTTGGCAGTTCTTGGATGGAAGAGGCTTGACTATCCTGGTGCTTTAGATCTTTCAGGATGCACTATTAGTAGATTTATTCATGTTAAGAAATAAGAAGGCTGACAGCCCAGGAGGATTTTCCCTTCTCTCTTACTTCTCCCAATGCTTCTCATGGGGAAGGGACAACTGATACTAAGAAAACCACTAAGATGTGGATGTCCTAAAGGTGCTTTTTCAAAAGACAACTGGACTTTCTGGTTTTTCTTTGAAGACGTTTTGCTTCTCATCCAAGAAGCTTCTTCAGCTAAGATATAGACATAACAATCCAGAAACCCTTTATCATCCTCTCCTGTTTATTTTCTCCTGCCTGTTAGAAAAAAAAATTGGTCTTCAAATTACTGCTCCAAACACTTGTAGAACTATACAAGACTCAAGGTCTTCTAAATTAAATTTCTTTTCCTTCTCATATAACCCGAATACTTCCTTTAAATAATAAATTGAGGCAGGACTTTAAGTCAAATTCAAAACATGAATTTTAGATTGCTATAACCAAGAATCAAGGAATAGGTAGCCTCATGTTGTTTCGTTTTTGAAATGTCAAATGACTTTGAATAACATTAGATTTTAATGTTTGGTTTTAATTTATTTTTGTTTTAACTTATATGTATAGATACATTTTTATCACTGTAAGACATCCGGAGTTCCCCGATGGTAAGATGGATGGCAAATAAGTTTTATAAATAAATAAATGTAAATAAAGATTGAAAAAAACCCCAGAGTATAAACATCAACTGAGCCTCTGTTATGTGAAGTTCACATGTCACATACCACTGTCTCCTTTGTAGGTGGGGGCTTATTCTGTTGGCTTGGAATCAGCACAAATGTCAGAGTGCCATGCATGTCTGCCTGTGAAAAAAAGCAACAATGAATGATAATTTAAAATCCTTGGTAAATTACTGTTTTTGCCCAACTGTCTTCTTTCTGTATGCTGATACTACATTTCAAAACTCCATTTGGACATATTCTGATATAAAATGCTGCATTATTCTTCTCTTAAAAATCAGCCAAACGTATCAGATCTATCATCGTAAGCAATTTAGAAATAAGAATGGTACCATTATTCAGGTCACACTTCAGAGACAGAATATCCCCGGTTTTTATTTATGAATTAACTTTTTGTCAATATTCCAACATATTTTAATCTGCTGGATTTTGACACTATACATATTCTGTTATTGTTTTCATTTCTTTAAGCCAAAGAATTTTAGAAGAGTTTTGCAAATAAAGAGTGGGATATGATTTATTATTTATTTGTTGATTTGTTTGTTTATTTATTTACAATCTTGCTTTTTTATATAAATAATTCAAGGCAGTAAACATATGTAATGCTCCTTCCTCCTCCTATTTTCCCAACTACAACTTCACAGTATCAGTGAGATGCATGGCACAACAACTTTTAATAAATAAATAATCTCTGTAAGATGAGCTGAGCCGAAATAAAGTGACTGCGCCAAGATCACCCAGCTGGCATTGTACTCAAAGTAGGATACTTGTTTTAAATGATTAGGAATGCATATGCACTAGGCAAGGGGTCGCCAACCTTTTGGACCTCAGGGACCACCAAACTCATAATTTTAAATCCCATGGACCAGAGACCCTGGGAAAATACCCCAAAAGGCTATAAGAAAATTCCCCACCCTGTTTTCCTACTGATCGATCATTCTTTATTTGGGATCGCAGAATACAGTCTCCTGCTCCGTTCTCAGGGAGAGAGAGAGAGAGACACTTTTGGCTTCATGCAAGGAAAGAAGCAGAAGCAGCAAAGTCTTTCTTTCTCTCTCCCAAACTCTGCCAGGAATGAGTCTTTGCCGGCGCAGCCTCTTGGAGCAGGATGTCTTGCAGGGTCCCAAAGACTCATTTCTGGCAAAGTTTGGGGGAGAGAAAGAAAGACTTTTGCTGCTTTCCTTGCATGCAGCCAAAAGCAGAAGAAGAAAGAAGTGGAAAGAAGCATTGCTTTGGGGGGTGTTTTGGGGGTGACATTTCTCTGTGGACCACCAAAATTTTCTTGTGGACCACCAATGGTCCCCATCCCACTGGTTGGCAACCACTGTACTAGGCTGTATCCCATGCATATTTTAATGTAGTGTAATGCTGGTCGTTTTAGAGTTAATATTTGTTCATTGGGTTCAAACTAATTCAATTTATTTGTAATTATTGTGTTGTGTTCTGTACCTAACAATATGATAATCAGCCTTTTTAGTGCAACTTACAGATATTAAGCCAGTGTCATTATATCTTAAGATATACATGGAAATTTTGATTAGTAAAAAATATTTAAATCAGAAATAGTTACAACACAGAGATTAAACATTCCAGAAATATAAATATAGAAACTGATGCATGCTATTAAAGTTTAGCCTAAACAAAATCCCTGACTTCTATAAATGGGTGTTCCAAGATGGAGCTCCAAGAACTTTGAAATTGTTGCCATTTGTAATTGGCATGCTAAGGATAATATCAGGTTTTCTTTGCCCCAGCCTCTTTTTTTCAAGTGTATTGCCTGAACAAGCCCCTGCAGTTTTCTTGGCAAGGTTTTTCATAAGTGATTTACCATTACCTTCTTTCAAGGGCTGAGAGAAAGTATCTGGCCCAAGGTCACCCAACTGGCTTCTTGCCCAAGGCAGGACTAAAACTCAGGGTCTCCCGATTTCTATCCCGATGTCTTAACCGTTATATCAAACTGGCTCTATCAAATAAGTGATAACATACCAGCAAGTCAAAAACCTCATTAACATCTTTTCCACGAATTTCAATTCCATTGATTTCCAAAACTTCATCACCTTCATGCAAGAGCCCACTCTTTTCAGCAGCACCTCCTTTCACTATTCGACTAATGATGACTGAATCCATTTCATTTCGCACTGTGGCACCCTATGTAATAAGAAGTGTACATTTGAGATGATGATGAGAAATTATTAAAATTTTAAAAAGTTTGTTTTGAATCAGATAGAAACACCACTCAGGCATCTTATGCTCAATCTGTCAGTCTAATCCAGTGTTTCTCTACCATGTTAAATTTATGATGTCTAGACTTCTACTTCTACATGCTGGCTGGGGAATTCTGGGAATAGAAGCCCAGACGTCTTAAAATTGGTCTGATCTATTCCACAGAGTAACACAGAAGACAGAAATTCTGCAAGAGAATCATGCATTTTTTTTGTTTGTGAATGGTATTCTGCAGTCTTTCATGAGTAGGCTAAAAATAGAATGAAAAGAAAAACTGAAAATACAGTTTCTAGATAATATTTAGTTTCTATTGTTAGTACAACAACAAAAACACAAAATGCCTTATAGCATCTTGTGCCCATCATTACAAAAAAAATCAAATCTTTCTTCTAATAAATGTGCAGCGTCATACTTAGGTTTTGTGCTCACAGAGCCAGAAAAAATAACCAGATAATTTTTTTTTCATTTCCTTTCTTGAACCTATCATATGGATATAAAGTGATAAAAACAAAAATGTCCTTTGGGAAGAAGAGTTGTGATATAATGGTAAAGATGCATGCATCCTGTCAGCCTTTCAAGATATGGCAGGTCTGGAAACACATCGTAAGTATTCCAGCAAAACTATTTTTATAAGGTATAATAAGCACAAGTGTGAAAGGGTTTTCTTTTATCCAAATAGAATCAAAGTTATTGAGTTTATTTCTCAGGCTTTTCATTTTCCCACATTGTATCCCTTAATGGCTTCTCCTTTCCAAGATCATCTCTCTTCTATATATTGTGATGAACGTGAGTGCAATTACAGAACTAGTGCAGTTTTATCCAAAGCACAGCAGTATACTGAAATGAATTATAAAGATTCATAAAGAAATTCCGTAATGCCAATTTTTTCTAGCACACTTTCTATGGAAAAATAACAATACCTAATAGATATCTGAAATTAGTTTTTAGTATATTCATATATTGAGGAACATTGAGATCTATGCCCTATAAATATTGAAATTATGCTCAATTTTCAATTCAATTTTTGCAGAAAAATACATATGTATGTGAAACCAGCACTTGAACCTGTTTAAAATAGATCAGAATTTTCAGGGGAATCTGAGAATGTGAGCAAAAACTCATTATTCAGTATTCCCTTTTTTCAGATAATGTACTCTAATGTAGTATAATGATCAGACCAAGCATTATGAAAAATATGGGAGTCAATGTTTATCCAGATCACATTTAGTATACTTACCAATGGAATATCCCTAGCTTTTTCAATGCGAACAATTTTAACTGTTTCTCCTCCATACACACCAACATTTTCATATATCTTTTCATCTGCCACTGATTCTGGTTGCATTTCCTGCTCAGCAACTTTATCATGAGCCAAAAGTAGTGCCTGGTGCAAAACAGTAAACTTAAAATTTATTATAGTAAATTGTACCATTGTGTTAATTATAGTAGATAGCAAAGAGTAAGCGGAACAGGGTAAAAGTACCACAAAAATTCAATACTGGATACAAAATTCAATACTGGATGTGGTATTAACCAGAATACACTTTTCTTGTAATTTCTTATGATTCCATATGGGTGAACAGTCAAATTAAGGAATGGTACAAGTTACAGTCAGTTAACAGCTATAACTGAGACCACCAATTTCACACATGAATGCAACAGCAGGTCTGATTGCAGTTCTTATGCATATTTGTTAGGAGCATGCATGTTTGTTACATGACAGTAATTGCTGCCAGTTTGCCCACTGACATTGCTTGTCAGAAGTCAGCAGTTACAGGCCAATTGTCAAGTGCCTGAATTGCAATCATGTGATTACAGAGACATAACTTCAAGGATCCACCATAAATTTCTGTTCAGTGGCATCATAACTTCCAAAGGTTGCCAAATGAGTGCTTGCTATGCAAGGACTACCAGTATTCCTTGAGCCCATTGTGGTTCAAGGAATAAGGGATTTTTATCAATACAAGCTGTAAAAGTTAATGTAACAGGAAATTGTTTTCCATTTATTATGTTTTTTATTATTAATTCATGTTATCCTATGAAAAACAGTAAATAATTGTGCTGGCCATTATTGATGCTAAGTCTCATTCTGGTACTATTAAAAGTACTCACATGTTCATACTGCTAGCATTTTACAACTGACACTTTAGAAAGTTCACAGTCAACAAATTAATTTGTTTTAAATCTTGATTTCTCATCATTGTTGCACAAACACCAATAGAAATACACGTGTAGTTATCTCAATTATATAATTACTATTTCTTTGACATCAGAGTTTTACCATATGGATAGAGGAAAAAAACAGTAGGTATCTATATATTGTGTATTTTAAAAAACTGAATGTTTTATACTTTAAAACAGAGTATTCCTACCTGAACATGAGGAGCATTCAATAAAGAATTAAGTTCCAACCCATCTTTCTGATGGCTTGGTCTCAAAACATTTTGTACCTGGGAATTAAAACACCAAAAATGTATCAGTTACCATTCATTATAAGCAAAATATTATTTTATTTTTCACACAAGAACATCTTTTCTGTAAGTAGTGTAGTATGTTACACAAACATTGATTTCCTAACTATTTTTTTAATACAGTAAATGGATAAAAGAAATCAGAGACCCATTCATTTTTAACATAACCTTCTCTCAGAGCATTCAAGGATCTTCCAATTCCAAATGTCTCTGGAAAACAGCCATCTAAGTAGAACTCCTGCGGGAGGGGAATGATAGGGCATTACCAAAGATGATGAGATAGGGGGCTAACTGTTCCATACTGAATAAATGGAACCTAACCTATGTGCTTGTCCTGAGGACACGGAATGCTGAAGTTCTCCATCCTACTGGAAGTAAAGGGGATGAGAATCCAAGGCTGCTCTTTTTTGATGGCTTCTCCCACACTATGAAAACACTTCAAAGATGCACAGAGTCTTTCTCATTCTGCTAGGCTTTTGCAAGACATCAAATGCTATTTTATATTGTCATTGTTTTACCTCAAAGGTGCTTTTTGAAAAGGTAACAACTTTGTTTATTTAACTTCAATTCTTGAATGGGAAGCTAAGCATCTTCAAGGAAAAACAAAGTCCAGTTGCCTCTTGAAAAAGCACCTTTGGGACAATAGAATTTATACTTATATACTGCCCCATAGTGCTATACAGCACTCTCTCGACAATTTACGTCAAAATATTACCCCCTGCAATCTGGGTTCTCATTGACGGAAGGATGGAAGGCTAAGTCAACTTTGATTGCATCAGAATCAAACTCCAGGGTGCAGGCAGTTAGCCTGCAATACTGTATTCTAATCACTACATCACGAGGACTCCTATGCATATGATCCTTTGGACTTACAATAGCAGATAACTATTTTTCTGTGTGTTTTTTGCATTCTGGGAAGAATAACATTAAAATATAACATCAAAAGAAGACTTAAGAGACTTAAAGTATATTGAACACTTTCAAAAAGCTGGATAAGTGTGATCTAAAAAGCTAGTAACAGAAATCCTAAAGGTGCTTTTCAAAAGGCAATGGGACTTCCTTGATTTTTTCCTTGAAAATGTTTCATTCCTCATCCAAGAAGCTTTTTCAGTTCTGTTTCACTGGCCCACATCTTGGATGGGAAGTGAAACTTTTTCAAGGAAAAAAACCAAGAAAGTCCAGTTGCCTTTTGAAAAGCACCTTTGGGACAGCCAAGACCTGAGTAACTGAGAATTCCTATAGACATTAATAATGGAAGGGAAATTTTATTTTTAAAAGCTTGCTTTATTATGAATCTGCATTAATTGCTGCAATGAGAATGCTTTTGTCTTATATGCTTTATAATTGGCTGGACTTGCAAAACAAAAGACTATAGCAATTTGAATAGATTCTGTATTTGACTGAGATATGTGCCTGAAATAATAGCATGAAAGACACTAGAAGGTTTTGTTTACTTTTCTGTTTAGCATTTTCATTTTGAAAAAATGACAAGCCTGAAAGGCAAGGCATGAAGCTAAAAGATCTTCAGAACAGCCCTTAGAGAAAGAATATAAAGATCATAAAGCAGTTCCTTTAAGTTTACTTCAATCAATGTTTGATGAATTAGGGTCTAAATTAGCTCAGCACTCCTTTAATGCATTAGCTGGCCTTAAGATTAACAGGAAACAAGGATGCTAACAAAAATATGAAGGCACAAAAATGGAATTTATAAACAAAAATTTTTAAGTTTGAGAAAAAGGTAAAATACTTGGGTGTCAATTTAACGAATTTGAATTGTATATTGTCAATGCTGGAAAGAGTTTCTATAATCAAGATGTTTACCTAGAATGTTATATTTTGGTTTCACACAGTACTTGTTTTATCAGCTGGTGTAATATTTAAAAAATGCCAGAAAGATATATTTAACTTTATGTGGCAAGATTAAAAAAAACCCCACACTGAGTATAAGTTAATACAAGACATTACAGAATGAGGAGATTTAAGGTTGTTTTTTTTTTTGGAAATTGTATTTTGCAGTTTGTTGTTTAACTCAGATGAAAGAGTGGGTAATGCTGAGAAACAGATTATTGGAACTAGAATGGCATGATCTGAAATGTGGTTGGTATAGCTCAGGGGTGTTAAACTCAATTTCATTGAGGGTCGTATCAAGGTTGTGTTTGACTCTGTGGGGCTGAGGTAGGCGTGGCCAGCTCAACATCACTCATGTTGGGGACACCTATGGGTGGCCCAAGTGCCCTGCCAGTGAAAACGGAACTCGGGAGGATTGCATGAGGCCCTTCAGAGCTGAGTTGTCGCTGGCAGAGGATTGCAGAAGGCCATTGTAGCCAAAAACAGAACTTGAAAGGGCCATCTGTGGCTCTCCCGAGCTCAGTTTTCGTTGGCAGAGGCATCGTGGGCCAGTCCTTTGCTGTTTCCAGGGTGGCCCCGCGGGCCTTGAGTTTGACACTCCTGGTATAACTGTTTATAGTATAACGAAGTTTAAGGTTAACCTAGATTTCAAAAATAATTGTATTACAAATGCCGAACTATGAGTATAGAATAGATATAAGCTTAGGTTATGTCCAAAAAATACCTTTATAGCTGTGATCAAAAGAAGCATATTACAGAAGAGAAATTGTAACTAAGCATAAATGGTTCACTTATGCTGTTATATTGGAATGCTTCCAGGGTGGTTTTAAAACAAAAGCAAGACAGGTTGTGATAACAGAAGGAAATCTGAAATAGAACTATATAGAATGTTTTTTATATGAAATTTATGTTTCAAATCAATATTTTTATTTAAAGAAGTTTAAACATTATACAAATATTTCAGTAATTTAGTTTTGCTATACAACCAAATTTAGTGAATGAAAATTATTTGAGGGCATTAAACTGTAGCTGGAAATCGATTATAACAAATTTGATATAAGAATAGAGATGTGTAATTACTTCATCTATTTATATCTTTAAATGCTTTTATTTTTGAAAAAGCGGTTAAATGCTAAATAGAATAGTATGGCATTTTCTCAGGCCGCCTGGATCCCAAGAATTATTGGAGGATCCAGGCAGGATTGAAGATGTCTGGTCAAAAAGCTGCTGTATTATGTCACAAGGGTTTTGGGGTACTTTTATTGTTCCAAATATTATTTGATGTTTCTATAACGATGCAGTGCTATTTAAGAAACACACGCAGTTCCCTTGGATGTGCAGAACTGTGATCTTAACTACTGTATTAATGTAAATAAATATTTTACACACTTTTATATTTCTTTAGAGAATGAAACTTCACATTTCTTAAATATAGCCTTTAAAATATGAAATAGTATATTTGCAGATTCTCATACATATTACTTCTAAAAATCATTTTCTTCTAGACAAGGAAAAGCAAATACTAATTTAATTATGGAAACTTTTAATGCCACACCTAGGATCACTTTGTAACAAAGTAATTACTAGCACTTTAATTACTAAAATAAGAATGTACGCCATACATACCTCTTGTGCAAGTTCTTGTGCGTTGGAGATAAGAGGATATGGAGGACTTGCTTTGTTCATGTGCACAGTAACAGCATTGTGTATCTTAAATGCATTTTGAAAGTCAGTATTTTGTACAAGCTGTAAAATGAGAGCAATTTCCTCCTGACTTTGTGGATCTATCAGTGTGTGTTGAACATGCTTAAGAGAACACAGCAGCTCATCAACCTCTGCAAAGGGAACAGGTGTACTAGTAAGTATGGATATACTAAATATATGGAATACATTTTGTTAATTAGCATTCTCACTATCTACTACAGTTATTATTTCCTGCATGAAAATGAAAACAAGAGTCTGGTGAACTGATTATCCCGTAAACCAGCAGTCTTCAAACTTGACAGCTTTAAAATTTGTGGGCTTCAAATCCCAGAATTCCTCCTCCAGTCATGTTAGCTCATGAATTCTGGGAGTTGAAGTCCACAAGTCTTAAACTTGCCAAGTTTGAAGACCCTTGCCATAAACAAACCATATAGAATCAGATAAACAAAATCTTGTATCAAATTAGTTACAAACCAAACTCCCTTGAAATTCAACTTTACTTGATAAAGTATGTTTAACAATAACACAAAATCATTCCATAACATTTGACGAGGTCAAAAGCAACTAAATAAAATATTGAGTTTGAAAATTGTCTGCATCTGGCAAAGGTTACAGAGAAAAACATGTCCACCCTTATCCCCAGCGAATCCCTATGTAAGAAGTCACTGGCTAGTGATCTGAAAGGCTTTTGACCATCTAAATCCCCATCCTACCCTCTAGGTTGAACAACCCAACAGAGAATACAGAACCCATATCCTTTCCCGTAGAGCCCTACAAATATGCATACATGCAAACTGAGAGGGAAGGAGAAACACACAGACCCGCAGATGCAACATATTAATTCATTATGCAAAATAAAATACAGATGCCTTTGTCATTATTGGGAAGAATTCCGAATGTCATGCTTTGTTTATCTTACCTTGTTAAATTTATATCATTTCCTTGGGCCTCAGTCCTGAGTAAATTATACTCATTTTCTGATTTCCATTCTTCCAAACTCATATATCAATGTAGAAAAAGTACTGTCATACTACAATTCCCATAGCAATCACCAAAAGACCACAAGCTGAGAATATGGTTGTGGGAGGAAATGGAACTTCCTGCCTTTTTTCTGTAATTTTGTATCACATATTGGGGAGGTTCTACATAATCTCAAGAACTATCTGCAGAATTGCTCATATTGGTGCTACTAATTAATTATCCTGAGCTTTCAAGGTTTTTAATATCATTGTACTGTGTAAGCTAGTTATACCTTGGAAGGAAAATTATGCACTGATGTCAGCAATATGGTTGTAGTATGTTTTTTAAGTGGTTGAAAAGTCAAGGAATTTAATTAGAGAAAGTGAAGGAAGGAGGAAACAGGAAATTCTGATTCATGGTACACCATAAATTCTGAAAAGATAACAGAAGATGAGAACATTTTCTCATTAAAATAAAAGAGCTTTATCTCACTTCATTACTTTTGAAAAGCACAGCTTTAGACATCAAATGTTCACTATCAGGCTTTACAGGGCCTAAGTAAATTTTAAAATTTGATATGAGGTTACTTAAAGTCAAAAGAATTGTCCCTGTCGAGATTAAAAAACTGCACTGCACGTCAGATGACCATTATTTCTATCTTGCCTGGCAATTGATCTCTAATTTTCAATTTATTAACATAGGTCACCAACATGGGTTCTTTCATTGATTTAGAATAAAACTATAAATATAAAAATAAAAATAAACCCAGAGCTATTAAAAACAGTTTAAAAAAGAAAGTAAAGGCAGTGAAAGCAAGCTTAAAATGTAAGTTTTTACAGCTTTTTTAAAAGCATAGAAGCGAAGAGGTTAAACCCATCAATGCAGTAGGGGCAACCATTCCAAACAACTAAGATTAAAAGTTTTCTTAAGAGAAGCCTGGGGCTACTGTAACTAAGTCTCCCCAGATAACTTTAGTGAGCTGGGTTGTGGGGCATGGAATCATATGGTTACAGAAAGAAGCATTGTCTCAAGGAACTTGGCCCTATACCTTATAACACGGGTGTCACACTTGTGGCATCATGTTGCCATCTCGACATGTTTCATTCAACCTCTCAGTTGTTACACATTGGTTAATAAAATGAAGTAACAAATGATAGTTCAGTTTTATAATTCACCCATGTTAAGACTTTTATCTTCAGAGGCCACGAGGGCACATTTTCTTCCATGTTCCTCTTTTTTCTTTCAAAGTCCTTTCATAGCAGAGAATATAGACTGGAATTTCTGGACATTTTTTTCAAGACTATTTTGACACGTAGACACAACTATTATTGAAATTTAAGATTCTAAAATGAGCACAGATCTTCATCTCTAAACAAGAATATCTCTATGATTTTGTTTTAGTTTCAAAGGACTAAGGAGCAAACTGGAGTTATGCTAAATATTTTTCTGCAATTATCAAAAGCAAACAATATGGGTTAGGGACTAATAATTAGCCGGACCTTATCAGATATGGAGAAGAAAACGTTTAATTCCCTGCTAAATCCCTTACCTTAAAGTATTTGTACAAGATAAAAATGTGGATTAATGACAAAGCTTTGTTCTCAAGGCTCAAGGATTCCAGATACCACAGACTGATAGTCTACGTTCAAAGGATATCTCTATTTTGTAACTAGAATAATTTTAGAGTCACTTTCTACGGCAACCATATAGAAATAATTCAAGGAGGAGCTGCATAGCTTGTGAAAATCTATTTACAATCTTTCCCTGATGTCTGATATAGCTTCACCTTTTATTAATGTAGCTCCTAATGATATATAAGGGACCCGGTGGCTCAGTGGCTAAGATGCTGAGCTTGTTGATCAGGCAGTTCGGCAGTTCGAATCCCTAGCACCGCGTAATGGAGCTCTCTACTTGTCCCAGCTTCTGCCAACCTAGCAGTTTGAAAGCATGTAAAAATGCAAGTAGAAAAATAGGGACCACTTTGGTGGGAAGATAACAGCGTTCCATGTACCTTCACCATTTAGTCATGCCGGCCACATGACCACGGAGACCTCTTCAGACAGAGCTGGCTCTTTGGCTTTGTAACAGAGATGAGCACCATCCTCTAGAGCCAGAAACAACTAGCATGTATGTGCGAGGGGAACCTTTACCTTTAATGATATATAAAGGAAGTCTGAGCAAGCAAATAAGACAGAAATTTGAGACTTGTTGATTTTATATGGTTAACAAAGGCATCCACTACCAACATCCCTTAGTGCAATCTTTCAGTCAAGGGAATACAAGGCAACTTGTTCTTAATGACTATGATTGATTGGGCAAACCTTCCCCTATTTAAATCACTTTCTTCAAACTGATGTTTCTTCTATTTGGATAAGAGAATCATGTCATATTCCACTCAAAAAAGACTTTTCTGAAGCTCTGATAATCTCTAATGGCAAAACTTTTTTAAAGGGGTTGAGGAGCAATATTTTTCACAATACTAAAAACATTCCCAACTTTAAACGAAGTCAAAAGTGTATTTTGAAAATGTAGTACAGAAAACAATCTTTTTAACCTCTTGCCCATACACCCACTCTACCTCTTCTGAGGATCATATAGCAACAGCAGAATACATACAAATGTTTCCAGAAAAATTTCTTTTTCCACAATATTTTCAGAACACTGCGCAGTCCAAGCTGAACTATTTTTCAAAAGTTGATCATCCATTTCCTATAAGCATACAATCTTTGGTATCTTTAATTTCAAAGATTTATCATGAGTGTTTTGCTGTGTTATTATTATATCTTTTTCATAGACTTAAAGAGATCTATGCAACAGTTCCCAATTGATATCCTATTGCATTTCCTTCCATCATTTTTGTATGAGAAAAAGAAAACTAAGGAGAAGTAGCTATTAACACTAGAAACCTTCCATTAGATACTGTCACAGAAACACAAATTAAACTTGGAGAGGCAATAGAATTAGTGTGGAATATTTAAGCTATTTTCATATCCAAACATATAAGGAAACAACAACTAGTTATAATTTCACATTCTCAAAGTGAGAATGACCCTCAGTCCATCCTTCTCATTAAAAATGTGGTTTTAAATCCATTTATTTCTAATTAAGCTATTCTTTTTTTAAAGGCATAAAATATTCTTGTTTTTAATACAAACAGAATATTTATTTTTTGTCCAGCTCTAATCCCGATGAAATGATTTGCTGTGCTTGTGTAAGTGGGATACATAAAACTGTTTATGATTTTCATTTATCTGTTGTTGTATTGTCACATTTAAGAACCCGTGCTTCAGAAGATCAAGTCAAGGAATTATCAGTTCTCCTTAATAATGCAGATGTCTTATTCCTGCTAAATAATCATAAGCTTCACACATTTAAAACAATTTGTTATTAAATTGTACTAAGCAACAATCCCAAGGACCAAGAAATCCAGAAAAATATTGGTTTTCATCTTAAATGAAATACCATAATACTATGAAAATACTATAAGAGAGTATATACAAAGTCCAAGTTCGCTGTCTGTGAATATTCTTCTCAGCTCTGAAGCCATCTAGTCTTAGCAAAAACAAACTCCCACTTTGATAAAAATGAAAAAAATCTAGGCAGATATTTATCATATATGTGATGACATGGCAAGAACCTTCAGCAGTATACAACTCCTTTGACTATTTCTCTTAAATATTTAAGATTAATTTTGATATTTTCTTTCTATTTTTATTCCTTCCTTTTATTCCAAGAACCTTCTAAACATTTTTTTTATTTAGGAAGTCATCTTTCAAGATTCTCAATGCTTATGTCATGTTTGCCAGGTGGAAAAGTTGCTTGCGTAGGAATCAGTTTTAATTAATACTATGATATATATGTATGTATGTATGTATGTATGTATGTATGTATGTATGGCATTCAGCTTTGTTCGGGTATTTTCCCACATCATTGTGGGAAAAAAATCTCCACACCACAAGCCAGGCAAACACCTGAGCACAGACAGATCCCCCCGATACCTCCAGCTCAAACACACCCCAACCAGGCACCCAGATGAAACCTAGCTTCCTAACTAATGATAGCTGTCCATTTACCCAGAGCCAAGCTGCACTAAAGGCCTCCAATAAAGTAACACAATGTTGCCAGCCAATCAAGATACAAAAAGAGCCAAAAAAACAGACAGAAGATATTAGAAACACCAATCAAGCAGAACACAGCAAACTCCAAGACCAATAAACACAGACCAAAACTCCCAACCAATCAGGGTGAAGAAAAAACCATTCTGGCACAGCAATAGGCTGCCCCAAATTTAAATCTGAAACCACTGTAAAAGTCTGACTCACAGATGAACACTATACAGAAGCCTGATGATGGCAGATGAGATTCTGCCGAAACGTTGCTACAAATTTAAAAGCACAACTACAATGACGTGGGAAAATACCCAAACAAAGCTGAATGCCATACATATATATATATATACATACATACATACATATATATATATACACACATACAGACATATACATACACACACATACACATACATACATACTTATATAAATAAATAAATAAAATAAAATAAAATAATGGGTCTTAAACACATGTCTTATGCATGAAAAGCCATGGGATCACCCTGGTTTAAGAACACCTAGGAGTTTTTTTTTAAGGATTCCTGTTATTACCTTGGAGTACTTTAGCTATGCTGATGCAGATTTTAACAATTCTAGAATGAAAAACTAAATTTTGTACACCTGAGAATGTTTCTTTATTTAACTTAAAAGGATTGTTTCTCCGTTATTGTTTTGGTTCTTTATATCTGTGTCAGTGAGATTGTCTCTATTGATAATTACATTCCAAAACTAGTTCAGAAATATTTTGGCAGATTTGGGAGTCAATTATGACATCATGATTGCAATTCATCTTAATTTTAAACTATTGTGGACTTTTATTACTATATTTTATAATTGTGAGAGTTGTGAAATTTGGCAGAATATAAATTTAATAAATAAATAAAATTGGGATGAAACAATTGAACAAAGGAAATGATTGCATATGTTTGACAATATTTAAAGAAGATGTACGAAAAACTGATTTCAAGCACTTCTTGAAGGAGAAATACTACGGTCATTTTTGGAAATATGGATAAGATTTGTTTATCCAAACATGGATAAATCTGCTTTATCTAAAAGTAACTCTGGTATTTCTATTTGCTGCTTGGTTGGGAGCAGACTTTCCACCAGAAAAAGTGGGAGGAAGCAAAAGAAAGTCAGATAACAATGTAGATTTGAAACTTCTGCTTCGGAGTATCTCTTTAAAGACAGCAAAGATTGGGAATGGCAATAAAGAACTGTACAAGTGTATCTTCATAAATACTGTATTGTTGCTGCTTATAGGCAAAATATTGGGAAGGCCTACATAAACATCATATATTCAGAGAAAAATGTTTCTGATTATTGCTTTTCTATTTATGCTGATAAGGCATAACTATGAATTTCCATTGCCTGGTGTCATTCCAATTGTAAGTATATCTTTTTGCCTATTTTTATTCTCTTTGATCTCTTGAAGTTCATTTTACCAGTCACAAAAAAACAGTTTGTTAAGAATCTTGTTTTCTTACTTATTCAGTATGGAATAGTATGGATCTCATGTTCAAGCATTGCATGTGCTTTGCCCGTTTCCCCAGTTGCTCTCTGGAGCTTAACTGCTGAGAAAAAAACAGTGCTTTTGAATTTATAGTATTTTCCAAGAAATTACATGGTACTGAATGGTTTGTTCCTAGGTACTATACTGAAAATGTCCACATAACAAGTCCACGCAATGCAGCTACATCAGACATTTGTCTTTGCAGATCCCCCGAAACCTAATTAAATTTTTCTCAAGAACAGATGAAAGCTCTGGTCAACTAGTTGTGGGTCTTTCTGGTTTGGGATACCTTGCAATGGTAACTCATGTCCTAATCATCGCTAATGGAATTTACATGGTTTTTTTTTTAATGAATACTAATTCAGGAGCTGCAACTAATTCAAAATGCAGTGGCCTGGGTGGGAGTAGATTTAGTAGTGTTATGCCTACGTTAAAGTCACTGCCCTGACTACCAAGAGATTTCTAGATTCAATTCAAGGTGTTAGTTTTCTAGCCTACATGAACACTCTCTCCTGACGTGAATCAGCCCTTTGAGGAACTGCTTCAGATTTCTTTGTCACCTAAGGTAAAAAGCAGGATCCTGGCGTTCCAAATTTTCCACATTATGGAATATCTTGCTCCCCCACCTTGCTTGCGTTTTGATGTTAAGACCAACTACTCTGATAAGCTTTGGTGCAGATGGTGGAGCTGGGCTCCACTTGTCTAATTTTCTTAGGTTTGGATGGATAATTTTTCAAGTGAAAGACCTTGAATGTTCCAGAAAGGGAAACAGAGTAATATTTTATCAATAAAAATGTATAAAATAAGTGGCAAAATGCGTAGACCACCCCATTTATTCCTAAGGCACTTAAGGTATATAAAATGCAAACTATTTACAGTATTCTAATTGGAAAATGATGGAAACTGAAAAGTTTCCATCATTTTCCAACTGGAATATTGTAAATGGTTTGAATTTTATTCCAGCAGAATGCAACCACCTCAGAACATATAGGACTGTTCTTTTGAGCTTTGGGTATGATTATTTTTTTATTCACACAATGTATGAACTGGGAAGGAATGCCTGCCATTCCTTGGTATTGAAATCTTTTTCATTGTTATTTTCTTTTTGGAAAAGGCAGAAGTCACAAGCAGAAGTAATTAAAAGTACAAGTAACAAGCAGAACATTTCCACATAGATCTGGAGAAAATCCAAGTGAAATTTGGAGAGCTTTTGTCAGTCAGCATACACAGTTTTGAAGCTGATAGTTCAATAACCTGAAAATACAGTTTCCCATAAAGGAAGTCCTTGACTTACAACTATTTTTTTGAAGTTACAAAGGCACTGAAGAGAGACTTATGACTGTTTTTCACTTACAACCCTTGCAACATCTCCATGGTCATGTGATCAAAATTGGGACTTTGGAAACTGGCATGTGTTTATGAAAGTTGCAAGGTCCTGGGGTCAGGTGATCACCTCTTCAACCCTCTGACCAGCAAAGTCAATGGGGAAGCCAGATTCACTGAACAACCATGTTACTAACTTAACTGCAGTGATTCACTTAACAACTGTGGCAAGAAAGGTAGAAAAATTGGAAAAAATCACTTAACTGTCTTGCTTAACAATGGAAATTTGGGTTTAAGTCAAGGACTATTTGTATTTCTTCTGTTCCTTGTATGCAAGATATTCTGCCTTAGAATATTTCTCATATGAAGACTAATTTCAAACTACCCACTATATATCACCTTTATTATTTTTACAAATAACTCAAGGTGGCAAACATTTCCAACACACTTTCCTCCTCCTATATTCCCTGCAACAACACTGTGAGGCGAGATGGTCAGAGAGTGAGTGACTGGCCCAAGGTCATTCAGGTGGCTTTCATGGCTAAGGCAGACCTTGAACTTATGGTTTCATGATTTCTATCCTAGATCAAATATTTGCTGATAATATAGATTTATATATTTTTTATTATAGCAATTCATCTAATTGTGAATTGCTGATTTATGGTGAGCTATTTCAAATCAATAAAATCAATAAAATTTCTGACATACGTAACACAATTTTATTAAAATATAATTTTAAGATTCTCAGAGTGAATGCCTAAGCAAGCATATCATAGAAATCATACCAGTTATTCTAAATTTTCACATTGTTTTTAGTTCAATAACTCACTTTTTATTAGATAGTCCTTGCTTGCTAACTGCTCATTCAGCAACCAAAGTCCTGCAGTCATGTGACTGCCAAGAGCAACTTCACAAAAGGCTTCAAAGAAGCAAAGTCAATGAGGAAGCCAGCAGGAAGTTGTAAGTCAGACATATGAAGCAGTGCTTAATGACTCTGGTGAGTCACTTAATGACTGCAGTTGGAACTGACATCAGAAGTCAGTGTGGTCATATTATGTTTACAGGAGAAATTTCCTGCAAGGAGTTTTGTAGACTGCAATGAGGAGAATGTTATTACACCTCAAAGAGGTCAGTTAAAAAGATGAAAATCTCAAGTAAAACTTCTTCATAATTAGATATAACTGCTTGAGGAATTGCCTGGAGGTGTGGAGGAGTAGAAAGTCTGGAGATTTTAAATAGGCTGCGCACTGGTCTGGTTAGAACTAAAGATTACGTCTGGATATTCACTACGAATGTGGCACTATTCAAACAACTATCCATCTTTGATACTGCCCTCTGGGACCGACTTGCACACAGAATAACTTGCTGATCAGAAATATCTCTGCCATTAACATATCCCAGTATTGGGCTAGAACTATATGAAATTATATTTTATTAAAGCTTTTGATTTTGTTTAAATATTAAATTAATATCTCCTTTCTAACAAGAGATGAGACAAGACATTGTGATTCACTTTATGATCACACTGCTTAGCCATAGAGTTGCTCAGTCCCTGTTAAGGTCTGTAAATGAGGACTATCTGCATAGACACAATCTCTCAAGCCTAACTAAATGTTCATTTAGAAGCACTAAAAGTTCCTTTGCATATAAAATAAATGGTTCTACTTAAAAATATACATACCTAGGACTTTCACAGCACAATGTGGACTCTCCAGAATTACTCCTTCTCCTGTGTCAAACATAGGGTTGTCTATTCCAGTCTTGGGAGGAATTTGTGCCAGCTTCTTGAGTCTCATAGAAGAATTAAGATCAAGTTCTTGTTTTTTCCCATCTTCTTCCCGTCTTCGCCTTAGGTCCTCTTGCTGCTGTCGAATCCGTTCAAGTTGAGCACTCCGCCGTAATGGCATCATGCGATTGCCCAGATCACCTGGGCAATCCACAGCCATTTCCCTGTGTTTCTGAGATTCTTCAAGAGGTGCAAGATCCATAATTTTTGTTTCACTGTCTGAATCTTCTGTTACATGTCCATTCATATGAGAAGTTGTCATTGTTTTATATGAGAAGCTATATGGCTTATCAAACATAAATTATATTATAACCCTTCTTTTCTTGGTAGTTCCACTTAAAATCCATTATAATGTTAAATAATTCTTATGCATGACCAGAGGAATATGAAGAGATATCTGCAGGAAGAAATCTGAAAATAATAAAAGGAGATTATATCAAAATGAATAAAGTTAATGCAGAAAAATTAATTCTTATATTTAATATTGTGTGTACCTTAATTTTCTCAAAGAAAACTCTGTGTCAAGGTATACAAAATTTCCTTGTTCCCAACTCTCAAGTAAAAACTACTTCTGTTTAGTGGAGCAAATTAAATTAAAAGTTGGGGGGAAAAACATTCTATGTACTATAATTAAATTACAATGGAAAAGAAGGCTCAAATACAAACTCATTTTGAAGTATGAAAATCTGAAAATGTAGAGGAAAAAATGCATGTAGACACATCTGTATTTGGATTAGTTGTATGGTATTTTATTTTGCATCTGTTTAATGGCACAGTTTTTGCCTTCATTTTATATATTTCTTATCTACCAAAGTCATTATTTTAGGAAAACATGCCCTGGTTCTTATTTGAAGTATTTTTAGTTATATTTCATCATATTAATTAAAAGTTTTAAGAGCACTTTTCTTTGCTTTCAAACAGATACATCCTTCTCCCTGTGCACACTGTACAAGGAGTTTCTGGTTCTGATTATAAAATATTAATACATACAATAAACATTCATTAGAATATGTTTTATATTATGCTATAGGAAACTCTTGTTTTTGTAAATATCACTTTATCACTGAGTATGTTATTCTATCCATTTTATTAATAGATGCTGGTTTGCAAAATAAAACAACCATGGTGATCACTACATTGTAAAAATACTTAATAAAACAATTGTTTGTTTTAAGCAATCAACCACTTTTATTCCCATTTTTTTAGTTTTTTCTTTCATTCAAAAGAAACTTGTACTTGATCTCAGCACATATTTTATTGTCACAAACTAAACTTAATTTATTAAAAGATAAAAAATGCACCTCCCTGCCTGTTCATGTATTATACATATTACCTTATTACAGGATGTCAAACTCAAGGCCCGCCAGCCACATCTGGCCCCTTGGGTGCTAAGATCTGGCCCACTCTGGAAACAGTAATAGACAGGCCCACGGTACCTCTGCCAATGAAAATGGAGCCCTCCTGAGCTCCCAGAGCCCTCCTGAACTCCATTTTCACTGGCAAAAGGTTGCAGGAGGCCATCAAAGCCAAAAATGGAGCTCGGGAGCCCATTTTTGGTTGGGCCACCATAGACGTACCTGACATAAGGGATGTCAAGCTGGCCATGCTAATCCTGGCCAAGTCCCCCAACCTTCCCCAAGATCAAACACAATCCTGTTGCAACCCACAGTGAAATCGAGTTTGACACTCCTGCCTTACTACATTAGATAAAAAGTCCATCTAGTTCACTGTTTGTTTTTAATAGAACTATCACATGTTCATGTGATAAATGTAATGGGTACTATCTGACTGTCCTGTGAGATCTGGCATGTGGTCACACTGCTTCTAGGTTTCTAGACATTATGTTTGCTACTATAGCCAATAAATGCCAACAGCTATCATCTAATATACTACTAAAACTCTCCTGTCTGGAGAAAGTGGTGAATCGCAGGGCAACAATTTTAAACCAATGTACCTCAAATGGGCTACTTTCAAGAATGCATTCAGAACCCATGACTTCTATAGAATTAAAATTTGGCAAATTTTATAAAGAATTTAATGATATAAAATTATCATAAAGTCTTATAATACAAAATATCCAAACTGTCTCCTATGGCCAACTCCTGATGTTTGACTGTGCAGATATATCTCTGAATATATCCATGAATTTTAAAGAAATTATCCAGTACATTAGGTTAACTATTCTTGAAGGCACTGAGGAATTTGGTAAGGAAACACCTCTCAAAAAGGACTTCAAAATATCAAATGAAAACAGCTATGTTAGGCTTTAATAATAACAGTTTCTTTACTTTTTTGTGGTAGTAATATTATTTAATCTGTGAAAAATAAAATCAACACTCCAGAAGACAAATTTGACTTCTGGTGACTATATGAGCATGTTTGTATATTTTCTCAGAAACAATATGGAGATTATCTTTACCATTATCTTTACCTTCCCCATTCCCAATGTCTAACTATTGCCCTGTGATTGATTGGTAATCTCTCATTTTTGTAATTGCCAAGTTCAATTCAGGTTAGCTTTTATCTTTTTCATAGTCTGTCAAGGTTAGGCAAGTTAGTTAACTTCCAGTTGTCACATGCTCTAATAACTATCCTTTAAAATATGTCCTTGCTGAAAAATACAGTTTGTTTACATCATTTCATGAGTGACATTTATTGTTAAAAGTGAATATGATTATATCACAAATATAGCTATTTGTTTCAATTCATTTATGTTGTACCTGTTATTCCTGATGTTAGTGAAATTTCGGTAGATGTTTTTGTAATAAAATTGGCTCAAGATTATCCTCACTAAATAATCTAGTTGAAAACCTAGCTGTCAGAAAGGTTTTCTATTACTGTTTACAGTATGAATTATGAAATCTTTGTAAATCTCTGAGCTGCATGAAAGGATTTCTTATTGCTTTGCAGCAAATCATCTTCCTATATACTTTCTATCTAAGATAATAAAGTATGCTTCTGCTAACAAAATTTGTAAAGCAATAGCACTTATATACTGCTCCATGGTGCTTCACAGCATTCTGAGCAGTTTACAATGTCCGCATATTGCCCCCAATAATCTGGATCTTCACTTTACCTACCTCAGAAGGATGGAAGACTGAGTCAACTTTGAGACAGTAAAGATCAAACTCCTGGTTGTGGACAGAGTTAGCCTGCAATACTAATCACTGCACCACCACAGCTCTTTCATTCTGTTAAGATGTAGTTATAAAACTTATGTATGAAAAAAACCAAGGTGGTTAACTAACCTTAACCAACACATGTCCTACATTTAACAATTTAAATTATCTTCATGTATAAGCAGTGTTTATAGGAGTACCACATAGTACACCACAGGGCTTTAATTATATTCAGTACCGTTCTTAGGCCATGGAATTAACATTTTAAGGTCCCTAATGACACTTTTGGGTTTCAAGAACTGAGTTCAAACCTCCTTTGCTCTCATTGTAAGGTCTTGCCAAGGGACCATAAAAAGAAAAAGAAAAAAGAATGCACATTGTTATCTTCATTGTAGCAATGTCCTAGTAAATATATTTCCTTTTAAAATAAAAGAGTAATAGTCTTCCTACAAATGAAATGTTTCAGTTTTAAATTGATTCTATGCACTGAAATAGAAAAGAGTAAGAAAAGTTTATCTCTAATAATCTCCAGTTTACATATTGAATAAGTGGAATAAGAACTATGTGAAATTCTCATAAATCATCATTACCCATTCAATACATGCAAGGCCATAGTTTTGCATTTTAAACTATAACTTGCATATTATAATCTTGTGAGAGAAAATATGCTGGCAGCAAATGGAAATTTATAGCAAATCCTAAGAAAGAGTCGGAGCATTTGAACAACAAATAGTGATACCTCAATTAATATGAAAGAATGGAACCAACCTTTGCCACGTCTCTATAGGGCCAAGACTGAGTTGTGACTGGGGCTAGGGGCTTTCTGCCCCAACAGGAAGAGGCGTGGCAAAGATTGATGACTCAGTCTCTGGGCAGAAAGGCAGTTTCAACCCACAGGTGTGGATTATCCTAAAGGCATTCTGGAGAATAAGATTGATCAAATAAAAGAAAGAGGGTGCTATAACAGGAACCCACAACAGAAGCAACTCTCCATCTGGAGAATAATCTAAGGAACAGCCCAATGGACAAATGTGATGATGAGAATATCTGGATAACCATTTGGATAACCAGAAATTAGAAAGAGCATTTAAACCCTTTCAGAATAGTTTCTGAAGCTTCAAGGAAAGAAAAGAGAGAAAGGGAGGAAGAGTTGTACTATGTATTCACAATGTCTACAGTTTTAATATAACTACAGCCTCCTATCTCCACAACCCACATCTCAAACACACCAACAATAGCCAAGCCTCCTACAACTGGCCCCAATCCATTGGGTTCACAACCTCTGGTGATCACAGAAAAAGAAGTGCAAGATCTATTTCACAGACAAAAGCCAGGGAAAGCACCAGGGCCAGACAAGATAACTCCTTTTTGTTTAAAAGTCTGTGCTGACCAATTGGCCCCCATCTTCACCCGAATCTTCAATAGATCACTAGAGATGTGCTATGTTCCTTCTTGCTTCAAACGCTCTACCATCATCCCAGTGCCAAAGAAGCCCTCCATCAGGGAACTGAATGACTACAGACCAGTTGCTCTAACATCTGTAGTTATGAAAATATTTGAAAGGCTTGTGCTGTCCCACCTGAAAAACATCATGGATCTGCTGTTAGATCCCATGCAGTTTGCATACCGAGCATAGATCAACAGATGATGCTGTTAATATGGCTTTGCATTACATCCTACAACACCTTGAATCTCCAAATACCTACGCAAGGGTCCTCTTTGTAGGCTTCAGTTCAGCATTCAATACCATCATTCCAGACACTCTTCTAAGTAAATTAAACCAACTAGCGGTACCTAAACACACTTGTAAGTGGATCATAAGCTTCCTAACAGACAGGAAGCAGCAGGTGAATCTAGGCAGAATCACATCTGATACCTGTACAATCAGCACAGGGGCCCCCAAGGCTGTGTGCAATCTCCACTTCTCTTCTCCCTATATACCAATGGCTGCATCTCAAACAATCCATCTGTTAAAATACTGAAGTTTGCTGACACAACAGTGATTGGTCTCATTCGAGACAACGAGAGATCTGCATACAGACAGGAGGTTATACAACTTGCCTCATGGTGTAACCGGAACAATCTGGAACCAAACACACTCAAAACCATAGAAATGGTGGTAGACTTTAGAAGAAACCCTCGCATACTACTGCCTCTTACAATACAAGACAACACAGTACCAACAGTAGAGACCTTCAAATTTCTAGGTTCTACTATATCACATGACCTAAAATAGACACCAAAAAGGTCATCAAAAAAGCACAACGAAGAATGTTCTTTCTGCGCCAACTC